GGTGAAAGGGAGTGGGACAGGCAGGGGGCAGAGGGAGGGAGACACCCCTTTACACCTCTATTTTTTTTTTTTTAAATCCTTTACGCCTCTTTTTAGGATTTATACCTTTTTTTTTAGGCTTTATGCCTTTTTGTTTTAATGCCCCCCTGCCTCATCTCACGGATTTCCTTTCTCCTCGTCACCATTTTCCTTCTTAATTTCTTCATAAAGGGCTTCGCTGCCACCTTTCTCGGCTCCTTCCCCCGTCTTGGCATTGGGGACCCAGAGCCCCGAGTCGATGCATCGCTGCATGTGGTATTTGGCCTCCTAAAAATGGGGGGAAAAAAGAGTGATGTAGGGCCCAGTGCCTGTTCTGTCTGCCCTGCCAGACTGCGGGATCTTCTCCTTTACACCCCTGGAAACCACACACCCCCCCGCCCTGGGGGTGTAGGGGAAAAATCAATACTTACGGTGGGATCCATTTTGCTGATCGTATCCTGCAACATCTGAACGTCTTTTACATCAAAACATTTTTGCAGCTCCTGCGAGGCCGAAGAAAAATCGTGGGGTGTGAGAGGGCGGGAGCGGGGAGGAGAAAACCCCCAAGGTATTAAACCGTGCCTAAATTCTGCTGGTTTATTCAACAATAATAAAGCCTGGGGTGATACTCACGGGTGGAAGGGACTCGTACACCTCCACGGGGTCGAGCCCGCCGGGGCCCAGGCGTTTCTGCCGCTCCTCTTCCTCGTATTCCTTCATCGCCTTCTCGATGCGGACCTTGGCTCGCCCTCGCACCCGCTCCTTGAAGGCTTCCAGCTCGTCGTTGAAGCCCTCCATGTACTGCTGGTCGGCTGTCTGCGAGGAGAGGGGGGGGCCTGAGGGTCCTCCTGCACCCCCATTTCCCTCCCCTTAATCCATGCTGGGGGCCCACCCGGTTCTCACCTTAATTTTGGTGAAAAACTGCCTGAAACAAGCCCTGGGATCAACCTTCAGGCTCTTGGCCAGCTCCAGGATGAATTGCATGACGATGGTCTGGTGGGCGACTTGCTCCATCAGGGCGTGTTTCTGGGGGGAGAAAAGGGATGTGAGGGCCCCAAAATTCACCCATCTCCATGTTCTCTGGCTCAGGAAGGTCAGGGGGCTCTTCCCCAACCCCTTTTTTTTTGCAGGGGTCAGGGGGTATGATGTGGATGAAGCTTAGTGATGGCACAGGGCTGGGCAGGAACGTAGAGAGCAGATCCCTACGGAGGGACCGGGCAGGGCAGATCCCAGGGTCAAGGCCAAGGGGATGAGATTCAAGGAGGATCCTGCGCTGGGGTGAGCACACCCCCCCCAGCTTGGGGACGAGGGAGGGGGATTCACCCCCTTCATTCCAGTGACACCCCCAGAGTCCAGCATTTGGACTTGGCAGCGCTTACAGTTGGACTCGATGGTCTTAAAAAGGTCTTTTCCAACTTAAATTATTCCCCAGTTCTGCATCCAGCTTGGGGTCCCTCTGTACAGGAGAGACGGGGCCGTGCTGGGGGGGACCCAACTCTGCCCCGGGGGCTGGAGCAGCCTCCTGGGAGGACGGGCCGAGAGCTGGGGGTGCTCAGCCTGGAGAGGAGGCAGCTCCGGGGAGACCCGGTTGCACCTTCCCACCCCCCCGAGAGGGACGGGGAGAGACTTTTTCACCGGGCCTGGAGCCGTGGGACAAGGGGGACGGGTTTGAGCTAAAAAAAAAGGGAGATTTAGACTAGATCTGAGGAGAAAATTCCCCACGCTGAGGGCGGGAGCCCGTGGCACAGGCTGCCCAGAGCGGCGGGTGATGCCCCGGGGCCGTTCAGGGGGCTCTGAGCACCTGGGCGGGGAGTGGGCTGGGGGAGCTTTGGGGTCCCCCCACCCCAAACCCTCCCAGGATTCTGTGATCTGCCCCGCCTCAGAGGGCTCTGCGGGGTTTGAGGTGGGATGGGGCGTCCAAAGCAGAGCGACGGAGCTGAAGAACAAGAGAAGGGGCTGAGGGAGAAAAGGAGCCTGAGAGGAGACCCCCTCGTGCTCTACAGCTGCCTGGAAGGGGGTGGGGGGCAGGTGGGGGGGGCGAGATCTCTTGTCCTGGGTGACGGGATGAGAGGAAACAGCCTCGAGTTGTGCCTGGGCAGGTTTAGATCGGACAAGGAAAAACCCCTCGGCCCAGAGGGTTGGTGGTGCTGGGACAGCCTGCCTGGGGAAGGGGCCGCGTCCCCACCCCACGGGGGGGTTAAATGACGCGCAGACATGACGCTGAGGGAGGGGGTTTGTAGGGGGGACAGTTGGTAGTTTCAGCTTAACAATGGGACTCCATCATCTTAAAGGTCTTTTCCAACCTCAGCGATTCTCTGATTCCCCGATAATTCCTCAATTCCATGATTTCTGGCAGGAAAAGCAAATCAACCCGTGGCAGAAAGGCCAGCGAGGCGAGGACAACGCGATCCCAGCACAAAGCTGGCGGGAGAAATTGGTTTCATCCCGTTTTCTCACCTCTTCCACCTCCAGATCGATGCACCAGATGACTAAGTAATTAGCCGTCTCCTCGCAAACGAGGTGAGGGTTATCAGAGAGATATTTCTGGCTGTCATCCCAGCGCCGCAGCATCCCTTCAAAGCAGGGCAGCCCCAGTTAGCAGAGGAAGGTTTTTCCGCTCGTTAAAAAAAAAAAAAAAAAAAAAAAAAAAAAAAAAAAAGGGGGGGGGTGCATGGGGAGAGATGACTCATCCCAGGGTTAAATTAAACCCCCCCCAAATCGCGATTAAATGAAGGCAGCGCACGAAGCTTCGCCTCAGCCGGGCGAGTGGGCAAAAAATCTTATGAAAAACATGTCAAATTGTCAACTGTTCAGCAGAGCGAGCGACTTCCCAGCTGCTCCCAACAGCAGGGGGGTTCCCCAGCTCAGCGACCCTCCAGAAAGTGGGAACCAGCCCCCCCCGCCAGCCCCTGCCCGGCACTCACCGAAGTGTTTGATTTGTTTCTCGTATCTCTCTACAAAGGTTTTGTGTTTCTTCTCTTTCTGTTCCTCCGTTTCCTCCTTCTCCTCT